CAGCAGAATAAAATTTCACAGTTCATGATGGCTGGAAAGCAGAAGAGGGGACCAATGCCAATGAGGAAGAGGTGAGAGACCACATACAGTACACAAGGTCATGCTTTCGTGAGCCCCTCAGACACACCTGGCAGCATGCTTTATTGAACTGCTAGGTGTTTATTAATCCAATGAAGCTGACATATCAAGATTCACAGTCACAACTACAGAGCAAAACCTTGTCTCAGAAAGAAGGGAATGAAAGTATTGCAAAGGTGGTAGGAAGATAGCTTGGTGGTCTAAGCTACTGCCTGGCAAGTGCAATGTTCTGAGTTTGATCCTTGGTACCACATGTCATGCCAGCCCTAAAACCAGGGGTGGTAGGACACACTTATAATCCCAGCACTAAAGGAGGATCACTGAGTCCAAGCTGTGTAGTGAGACCCTATACCAAACAAATAAATTTTTTTTAAGTCCATAAGCAAATGTAAGTATCTTGAAAGGTTCAGTAACCATGGCAGACTCACAAAATGCTTGGATTTACTATGAGCTTCCATATGCTTGGACTTCTTACTATTTTGTTCATATTTTCTTACTTCTTACTATAATGATCCTGTGTGATTGTGAGTTATGCACAAGGGGAAACATAAGCCAATTATTGTTACTACACCATCATACTTTGAGGTATATGATTTATCACAACTGAGCATTTAGAAATTAATGGGTTAGTTGTTGAAAAAGAAAACTGTGTCTCCTAAACCCACCCCAAGGAAATGCTGGTGTGGAAGACTGTGTCCTAAACTGATGTCCTTCAGAGAGCCTCAGAATAATCAAGGTAATGGCCTAATGGTAAGAAGAAATGCTGGGCACAAGATGCTCTGGTGTGAATTTTGATCATCAGCCAAAGGTTCATGTAGTCAAGGGTTGATCCCTAGCCATCATGCTATTAGAAGGTGGAGGAGCCTCTAGGAGGTGTAAGAAAATTAGGTCATTGAACAGGTGCCCTTAAGGGATGACAATGCTCTGTCCTCTCCTTTTCCTCTTTCTCTTCTGCCTGGCCACCATGAGCTGAGCAGATTCCTCCAGCATGCACCCTTTGCCTTGTCACAGACCCAGAAGCAATAGGGTCACTTGGTCATGGATAGAAACCTCGAGAACCATGAACTTAAGCAAATCTTTCCATTTTAAAGCTGATTATCATAAGCTGATTAATGCACTGAAATAATGAACCTTCACAGGGTTCCAATACCACCTCTATAGAGCATAAACCCATATTGGTTACCTGGCATCTCTGAGCTTCACTGAAGGGACCTTAATAATGTCCCTCTCTTACAGGAATGTGACAATGGTCCAAAGAGATGATGCAAATTAATCTCTCAACATAAATTCTGGGATGTGGTAAGGGCTCGGCAAACCTGAGCAAATTTATCCCTAAATAGCACGAGTACTATTAAACCCTTGGAGTCGTGTGAGCCTAGTCGTGTGAGCCTTAAGTGGAACAAAAGATGTAAAGAACCTTGCACAGATTCTGCCACTTGAGAGGCACTTGATAAATGTTTATTTCTTGTCACTTTTTCCAGATGGCCTTATTGGGAATTTTCTGTATTTATTGTTTTTCCACAGGGCAAAGTCATTATGCAGTAAAGATCCAAGTACCCTCCAGAAAGCCAACATCAAACAATTAATCCACAGGTTCTAGGCCAGACTTTACAGAGTCCTTTGCCCTAACACCAGAGAAACAGACAGACTGGAAACTGCTCTGTTTCCTAAGAAAATCTGTTTACAATAAAAACTGAAAATCTGCCACAATCTGGGGCTGGATATTTCAGCATCTGGAGCCACAGCTAAAGTCCCTAACTCCATCCCCAAAGACTCTCAGAAATCTTTTGGATTTTCCCCAGAATGAGTGAGGCACCATGGGCAGAGGGTCTGCTTGAACCTTCTGGCTGCTGGCAGGGAAGGAACTGGATCCCTTCTTCTTATGGTAGATAGAAGGGGCAGAGAGGGAATTATTAAAACTATGAGGAACCCACCAGTGTGAAGTTAAAACACTGATCCCTGAGGCATTAAATCAAGACAAGTAAAAAGAGTTAGTGTTGGGAAGATACTCAGGAAATTAGCTTCCACCTCCCTTAGTTTATCTTGCTAGACACAACCGAACCAGGTTCCCTGGAGAGAGAACCACACACGAACCATCATCTTCAATGCTCATGTCACAAGTCAGGTCCTCTCTATGCTGAATGCTGGGCAGAGGAAGGCACCAGGGGAGTGCAGGGTGTGGGAGGCACAAAAACAGGAGAGTGAGTTCAACCCAAAGGGCCCAGGGAAACATGATGGAAGGACTGATGTGGCTGAAGCATGGAGAAGAGTAGAGATGAGGCAGGTGAGGATGTTCTAAAGAGAGGAAATAACACATAGAAGAGTTGAAGGGAAGAGATGAGCATGTCTAAGGAGCTAAAAGAAGTTTATGATGGATAAATTAAAATGCAAAAGGTAGGAAAAAGTGAGACAAAATCAAAATAGACTGGACCAAGTCATACAGGGTGTTGGGGATATGGTAAAATTTAATTTTCTTTGTTAGAGCAATGGAAAACTATGGAGAGTTTTAGACTGTGGAAAGTACAACAAAATCTCTTTTTATGACATTTGCCTTGATTGCTTCATATAGAGTATTTTTTCCATAATTTTATTGAGAAACAAATAGCAATGAGACAGTTTCAAACCAAATCGGTAGGACAATTTCAATAATTAACACATTGCATACATTTTTCCTAGTGGTTAATTGCTGTACAAGATGCAGACATGATATTCTATATACAAACACTATTAGAACAAATCCCTCTACTCATTAAGAGATTGTAACTATATATCTATCCTAACCATTTTGAATACAAAGATACAAAATAGACATTCATCTGTATCCCTTTTATTTGTTAAGTTCCATTATTTGAATATTATAGGTGTGTTAACTCAGCAAAATATTCTGAAAGAGTCCAGTAGTCCATAATAGTATTGGGTCTTCTGCTTCACTGGCAATGTCAGAAATTGTTGACCTGAGTTCTCTACAGCTCAACATAACAGCATGGCTTTACTTCTTATACTTCGTTTTTATACTTTTCTGCTGGATGGTTAAGACCAAGGTAAAGCAGGACCTATGCAATAAGAGTTGTAGCTTTTGGTTCTGATAAGGTCAGTGAAATCCCCTCAGGATTTATGCTGAGATCCTGTACCTCAGATTGTGGAACTTTTGTCAGTGTCAGCCATGTGAATGAGTCACGGCTATTTCTTGGCCCCATATAGAGTATTTCTTTTTCTTTTCAAAGTTTTATTGATAAACATATAGCAATGAGACAGTTTCAAATCAAATCGAAAGTACAGTTTCAACATATAATACACTGCATATATTCTTCTTAGTGGTTAATTGCTGTACAAGATGCAGACTTGTGATCCTACTTACAAACACCATTAGAACAAATCATTCTATTCATTAAGAGAATGCAACTATATATCTATCCCAACCACTTTGAATACACAGATACAAAATGGACATTCATAGTTATATCCCAATTTTTTTAAGTTCTGTTGTTGAATATTATAGGTGTGTAAACTCAGCAAAATATTCTAAAAGAGTCCAGTAGCCCATAATAGCATTGGGTCTTCTGTTTAACTGGCAATGTCAGAAATTATTGACCTGAGTCCCCCACAGCTCAACATAACAACATGGTATCTGACCACAGTGCAATGAAACTGGAAATAAATGACAAAAGAAACCAGAAAAGAACTTTCAATACATGGAAATTAAATGACACCCTACTCAGCAACCAATGAGTCACAGATGAAATTAAACAAGAAATTCAACAATATCTACAATTCAATGAAAATTCAAGCACAACTTATCGGAATTTATGGGATACGATGAAAGCAGTTCTCAGAGGGAAATTCATAGCTGTGAACTCACACATTAGGAAAATAGAACAGGAACAAATAAACACCCTAATGCTGCACGTTCAACAACTAGAAAAGGAAGAGCAAACCAAACCTAGATCCCAAAGACGCGAGGAAATCATAAGATTAGACCATATAGAGTATTGATTGTTTCAATAACTTATTGTGCGGCTGTAGAATACTCACACCTCTCCTGAGCCAGTTTTCTGGAAGATGAGCAAAGAGGACTGATGATACACAGGTGTAGCAAAAAGCCGTCCTGGCTCCCCTCAGATTCAGGAAGCCCACCATATCACTCAGCCCCTAAACTACCGAGAAACCTGCTCTTAGGGAGCCTATGTCTCATTCTAGAATGTCTCTCAAATGTAGCTTACTTACCTTTGTCAGCCTATATAGAACCTGAGTTTAGGTTCAAAAAATACAGCCTGCTTCAGTGAGTAAGGTCCCTTCGCCTCAAGTATCACTATGATTTTATATTCATTATCCATCTTGGCCACAATGAGGCTGTGAAATAAAAACACAGTCACAGAGGAAACCCTGCTTCTCCCTCTGAAAGGGAGTGTGTTTCTGTCCTGCACGTGCCTCACCTCTAGGCTGCAGTACACTGTGAATATGCTACTACATTTGGAGAAAGTCTAGAGGGTTTGGTGGTGATTTGAAGCCTGCCTCCTCAGTTCCACCACAAGAAAGCCATAGATTGACTGATTTTTTTGTATTTTATTGAAGGGACTACAGCGTGTTCAGGGTCGCACTACCAGATCAGACACATAGTGATCCTCCTGTTTACAGACTCCCAAGAGCTGGGATTATAGGCACACCACCACACCCAGTCTCAATCACAGCGTACTCTGAGAGCGGGGCCAGCTCAGCAGGCCCTGGGATCGAATCTCCGGCCCTATACCTGCTCACAGGCGCTTTAATCCACTGAGCTATTTGGCTGGCCCAAGAAAGCTATAGATTTAAACAAACATGGACATACAATAAATTGATGTTCTCCACACTGATCTGGCTTCATAGGCCTGACCATCTAGGAGTCAGAATCAAATTCCTCACAGTAACGTGGCCCAGCTTTTCCCCCTTGTTTCCCCATTCACAGTATGGACAAGGTGCAAGGCCTGGGCTGAGGTGTATGGGGGGCACAGGCTTATTCTCCCTCTTTTTTCTATAAAGTCAATGTAAGCCCGCTACCTGTGGTAAGCACCGGGAGGCACGTGGCCTCACTTATCAGCAAAGACAAGCTGCAGCCAGGAAAGGGAGGAAACCTTTCTTCCTTGGCACCCTGTGGCCTGCCCCATGGGGACAGTCACACAAAAGCTCACTAGTTGCTCTCTATCCTGTTATCTGGCTTTTATTTTCTTCATGGGATTTAGCTGTGTCTGAAATTAGCTGGTTTGTGCCTTCACTTACTGATTTATCACACTTGGACCAAAGCTCTGAGGGGGATTTACTGCATCCCATTGTAACCCTGGCATTTTTAAGGGAGCCAAGCCCCATTGTAGATACTCAATAAATATTTCTTGGGCAGATAGTCTTTTGTTATTCATGTGTTAGGTGTGGACTGTCTACAAAGTTTAAACCAAGCCTCTGTGGGAGGTCAGTGAAGGGGTGGACTCGGAAGACAAAATATCTGCATGGCAACCTGGTTCTGCCATTCATTGTGTAGCCCCAGGCAAGCTACTCATTTGTCTATACCTGCAAAATGGGTTAATAATACCTACCTAGTGGTACATATTCAATGAGATACACGTGACATACTTAGCACAACACTCAGTAAGTACTCAAAGTTGGCCATTAGCTTAACACGTTTATACCAATTCACACTTTTAACTTAAGTATACCTTTAAATTTTTAAATTAATCCCATCAATAAGAATAACATCAATGATATAAGTAATAAAATTGTCTCTGTCTTATAGATCAGGAAACCAAGGCACAAGTCAGGGGCACAAGGTCACAGGACTAGGAAAGAGCAGAGCAGGGACCCAAACAAACAATGGGGCTCCAGATTCTACACCCTTAACTACTGCCTCAAGGTGCCCCACAGAATACTCCCACTGCTTTGCAAATAGGAAGTATAAAAGCCAACATCAATATTAACTTTTATTCATTTTTTATATATAATAGAATAACTTAAACATGCAAAAAGTAGAGAGAGTACCATACAAAAAGACACTGGGTCTTTTAAGTGATCATTTAGCTGTCATCCTAGGCTCATCCTGGGAACAACCACGGTGACACTCATCACATGCTGCGAAACTGCAGCAGTTCATTTAATCCCCTGGCAGCACAGCTGGGGCCCGCTCCCCTCAGGTCTTCACTCATGGCCTCTGCCTGAAGTCCATCCCCCAGTTTAACCTTCAAGTCTGAGCCCCCACCTCAGTGCCCCCTTGCAGACACCTGTCCTGAAAGCCCCAGCCTTAACTGTAACCTCAGACATAATATTTTAATTTTAATTTTAATTTCATTAGTACCTGTTTGCAGTTCACACAGTTCGCAATCATCTCGGGGTGTGGTAGTGTGCAAGTACTGCAGCTTGTCTTTTTTTATATCAACCCCTTCTTCCCTTGTCCTCCAACTCCCCTCGCCATTTTTCAGTCTTAGTAATGTTATTAATCATAACATGTGTTGTGGCATATAATATTTACATTAATTGTGGTTATCAATGGTCCTGCACCTGGCACATCTACATTCCACTCAGTTCCCCTTCTCCTCCTCTTCATACCTCTCTTTTTACCTTCAACAACTTCCTTATTCCAAGAGATCCATTCTGTTTTTCCCTTATATCTGTCTTTTAATATGTTCTCTTTGTACTTTGCCCCATTCAAGTGAGAGATACAATATGGTATCTAAGCTCTTGTGTCTAGTTTCTTTCACTCAATATTATATTTTCCAAGTGCATTCATTTTCCTACAAATGTCTCAAATTTGTCATTCTTTACAGTCAGGTAGCACTCCATCATATATAGATATCGTATTTTCTTTATCCAATCATCTGTGGGGTATGCAGGTTGCTTCCAGGATTTAGCTATCAGAAATTGTTTTGTCACATGTATCACTGAAGAATGATGTCTTAAGTTCTTTGGGGAAGATGCCTAGAAGGGGGAGAGCTGGCTCATGTGGAATTTCTAATTCCAATTCTTTGAGAAATCTCCAGACTGATGTCCATAATGGCTATACTAGTTCACATTCCCGCCAACAAGTCAGGAGCATTCCTTTCTCACCACAGTAATGCTGGCATTTGTTATTATTTAATTATTAATGGTTGCCACTCTTTCCAGAGTTAGATGGAGTTCTAGCATTGCTTTAATTTTCCTTTCTTTTTTTAAAATTTATTTATTTTATTTATTTATTTGTGTGTGTGTGTGTGTGTGTGTGTGTGGCCAGCTCAGCCCACCAGGGGGCGGGGTTGACTGGCATGTGGTGCTGGGGGATTGAACTGCGGTCCCTGTGCTTTGCTAAGCTTGTTCTAAGTAGGTGCTTTAGATCACTGAGCCATCTCACCAGCCCTTTAATTTGCCTTTCTGTGATGACCAGAAATTTTGAATGTTTTTTCCCATATGTGCCAACTATTTGTACTCCTCTGTGAAGTGTCTGCTCATTTCTGTTGTCCATTTTTTGACTGGGTCTTTAATTTTAGGTGGTTCAATTTTTTTCAGTTCTTTGCCTATTCTAAATACACATCCTCTGTCTCAAGAGTAACTGGAAAAAAAATTTTAACCAGACTCTCTAAGTTGTCTCTTCACTCTATTAACTGATTTTTTTTGTAAAGAAATTTTTTAGTCTGACATATGACCTTGTTTTTTGATTCTTGTTATTTCTTGTGCCATTGAGATTCTGGTTTTGAAAATCCTTTCCTACACCTGTCTTTAAGTGTTTCACTTATTTTATCTTCAAGTAGGCTTAATGTTTCTGTTTTAATGTTTAGATCTTCAATACATTTTTATTTTAACTTAGTGTATGGTGAGGGACAAGGTCTAGTTTGAGTCTTCTGCAAACAGATAACCAGTTTTATCAGCACCACTTGTCGACTAGGTTGTCTTTCCTCCAACACATGCCTTTGGTCCCTTTGTTGAAGAGCAAATAGCTGAATGAGTCTGGGGAATTCTCTGTATCCTTCAGTTCCATCGAGCCACACATCTATTTTCATTTCAGTACCATGCTGTTTTTATCACTCACACTTTGTGTATAACTTGAAGTCAGGTATTGGTACCTCTCCTGCTTTGCTCTTGTTGTCCAAAATTGCTTTTGCTATTCTGGGTCTCTTCTGATTCCAATATGAATTGCAGGATTGTTTTCTCTGCATTTATAAAGTATGTCATTGATATTGTGATTGGGCCTGCATTAAAAGATGAAAAGTGAAACAGAGTTGCAGCCTGGCAAGAGTTGGACTGGGTAGACAGGTGAGGGCATGGGGAGCTACAGTGAAGGGGAGTAGAGAAGAGAGTAATGTGACATGGGATTCCAGAGGGATGGGCCTGGCTCCTCTAGAAGGGATGCAGCCAAGGGGCATCTCAGAGAGGAAAACTGGGAGCTTGGCCTCAAGTCATCAGCCAATAAAATTTCAATAAGTTTAAACTAATGAGGCATTCTTGGCTGTCATAACAACAGAAGCCCTGAAGTATAAAGTGCATAGCCTGGGACATCCACTCACCAGGCTCAAGGAAAAATGCAGCATCCAAAGATGTTGCCAGGGATTGAGTTCAGACTGTGAGAGGCTAAAGAGATTGGATTTCCTGCTGTAAGAAGTATATCAACTTTAAGTCCTTGAAGAAACTATAGCATTTAAAAAATCTAATTTAGAAATCACAAAGTAATCACACACACACACACACACATATACATGTGCACACACTTGTGCTCACGCACACACACATGCATGAAAAAGAAGTGGCTGGCCATTTATCAAGCTGGAGAGGGCAGTTTAGCAGAACACACAGGTTCCATTTGGCTAAGGAGAAAATGGTTTAAAATGGAAATATGGAGAAGATATTGTCTCTGTGTACCACTACCCTGCTCTAATAAGGTATCATCATTAAAATAGTTCTGTCAGTTATGAGCTGTCACAAGAAGGAGAACAGGGTGTTTTGTTCAATATTGCATTCCTGCCACCCAATCCAGGGTCTGCATAGAGCCAACCATCAAGGACACCAAATTTATTGGACGGATGGATGGATGGATGCATGGATGCATGGATGCATGGATGCATGGATGCATAGATGCATGGATGGGTAAAGGGCTTTATATCTGCTGCATGATTCCACAGAAGTAAAGCAACACATTCCTAGGTTAAAAACATTCAAGATTTCCCCCTTGCTCCTCACATAAATGCCAGAAAAGTCAGGTCAGCCCCACCAAAGTCTTCTAAAGCTCTGAGGGCAACTTATGACAAGAGGTATAACTCTCTAAAAAGCATATATTGTTCACTTGCACCAAAAACCTATCCCTAAGAGTCCTCAGATCTTACTGTGATAGGAAGATTAAAAAAAAAAGCTTGTTTACACTGAGTAACCTGTTAGTACTTTTTTATTCAAAAATTCTATTGGGACACTCTATGCAAAAGTGCAGGGGGATAGGCAATATTCTCACTCTTTGAAGTTTATATTCTAACAAAGGAGTCAAACACAATCATGAAAATGTGCAAGTAAATGAGATCATTTGGTATGGGACCAGTGCTATAAAAATTAAATGGAGATGCAGAGGAAAGAGGCTGGCAGAGCAGAAAGCATTTGTAGAAGTGATATTTGAGCTGAAATCTCAATGACAAGGAGATGGTTGTGCAAATATAAGAAAACAGGACAAACAGAAGAGAAAAGCAGCAACAGTAACTACAAAGGCCCAGAATAGGGGTGAGCATCATGTGCCAGAAGAGTAGAAAAGAGGTCAGTATGAGTGGAGCTGAGCACTAAGGCCAGGAGGAGGAGCAGTATGCAAGACAGAGCACACTTTGTGGGACTCAGGGAAGAGACGTCAGGTGACCCTCCCTAAAGCAGCGATAATGCAAACGTGGGTTTTAAGGCATTTCTGGATCTTGTGTGAAGAATGGTTTCCAGAGGGAGAAAGAGAGGAGTCATAGAAACATAGGAGGTCACTGTGGAAGTCCTATGGTGGTAAAATACAGGATGGTGTCAAGAATGCAAAAGATTCAGGATATATTATTGAGGCAAAGTTGACTGGATCTGGGAGAGAGAGGAATCGAGCACACCAGGAACCTA